CCCCTTATAAACCCTAAACTCTTCTTAGCTGCTGCCAACCTGTGGCATTCCGGGCCTCCTGCCGAGGCCAGCGACGCTGCCGAAGAGCGCCGCCGCGCCGAGCGCCCGGGACGATCCGGAAGGCGGAGGCCTTTGCGGTTTGGGGCTTCGAGGGCCCTACTTGGAGGCCCTTTTGACTTNNGTTATGGGGATTATAAGAGGGTTTCTAGGGGATACTAAGTAGACTTACTAAGTCAAAGGGGCCTCCAAGTAGGGCTTTCAGGTAGTCCTTTAAGTTAGGGGTTAAGTTAAGGGTGTAAGGTTTTTGTTCCCTCTCACATGGATGTGAACGATGCAGGGTTTCGGGTTTCGGGTTTAAGGGTTGAGGGGTTTAGGGTTTAGGGTGGCTTGTGGAGATTGGGCTCCGGGGCTTTAGAGGTTCAGGGCATAAGATTCAGAAATGAGGAGGGGACACGTGGTAAATGGTACTGACGACCGTGTCAGGACCCAATACAACCAGAATCAAGAGTAAGAGCATTCGGAAACAGCGCAAGAAGGAAACGGTGGCGGTGTAGTTGGCTGTTGTTGTTGCTGTTGCTGCTGCTGCTGCCGAACTATATCTCAATACTCTCAACCTTGTCGGGGCATCACTGCCACCGACAGCAGCCATGGCGCCAACAACAGCCACCACTACGTCGGGGCAACAAGAGCTGAAGCAGCATCATCAAAAAACCCTCATATCGTGGTTTGGCCGCCCCCTATCAGGGTGGATAGCAACACACTGCAGAGGCGCAGCTTGCCATGATCGCAAGAACCTGCACCGCCGACACTACTCTAAGATAGTCCTCCCCCCGCCTTGAGACGCATAGACTAGAGCCACACAAGCCCCCTTCAAGAACCCTCATTCAAAAAGCAGGAAGCCCTGTAGGAAAAACCCTAAAACCCTAGAACCCTACATCCCACACCCAGGACCCCAAACCCTCAACCCCAACACCCAGGACCCCAAACCCTAAACCCTAAATCCTAAACCCTAAACCCTAAACCCCTAAACCTCCAGACTCTAAACCCCTAAACCCTAAACCCCAAAACCCAGGACCCCAAACACGTCGAGGCGCTGCTGCGCCGCGAGGCGCTTGGGCTCTCGGGCAGCTGCAGGGTCGGGTGGCTCAGGGGCTCTTGGAACTCTCCGGGCAATTCGAGCTCCTGGGTCTCGGATTTTGGGGCTTAGAGTTTTTTTGAAGGTATACGTAGGGTTTAGGGTTTGGAACGTTTTCTAAGACCTAAACCCTAAACCCTAAACCTTCAGGAAGGTTTAGGGTTTAAGGTTTAGGATGATGTGTGGGTTTTGGTTGAGAAAGGATCTAGGGAGAAAGGTTTAGGTAAGCGTATTTATGAATTCTGAATAGGTACCTCTTCAAGAGCATAAAGGGAAGTCACAATAAAGTCTCCCAAATCGCCACCTAGGCTCTGGGCTCTGCAAAAGCGCCGGGCCCTTCTCGGGAAGCTCCGGATCCGAGCTAAGGGGCTGGGAGGGGTGTAGTGACTGTAGCGGCTCCGGCTGGGGAGCTGTGGAGGCCGCTGCATCTGCGGTGGGAGGCACAGGCTCAGGCGCAAGCTCTTTGCTGGAAGTGGGCAGGGAGGATAAGAGGAAGGGATCTTCGGAAGGAGCAGATTCGGGGAGGCCTGAATCTATCTGAGTCTTGGTGGCAGCCTCTGGCGGCGGGTTTTGCGAGCTGTTTCTCTGCGGTTTTGAAGAGTTCCCCTGTGCTTTTGAGCTTTTCTCTTCCTGGGGAAAGCTTGCATCCATCTGACCCCTGAGAGTTGGATGTGCCACCTCCTGCAGGGATAACTTGGGAGGTTGTTGCAAGCTTGTTCTCGGCACTTCGACTGAGCTCCCTTGGGCTTTGGGGCCTTTCTTCTCCTGATCCTCGGCTTCAGGAGACCTCAAAATGCCCGGCTTCCCTTCCTTTGCTTCTTCGGGCTTCCGCTGCACAGCAGCCTCGGCAGTCGAAACAGCACTGATACTTGTAACAACTCTGGACATGAGCATTGCGACGCGACGGTACTCTTCATAGCCTTGACCTCATATGCATATCTGAATGTCCGAAGTTACGGTCATGAAATATTTAGTCAGTCATGTTAATTAATCGGGGGCCTACGGCCTAGGGCAAAAGCGCAGCGATGTGAAAGTAATGGAGATACATGTCAGCAGATGGACAACCGCAAGGAAGAACAGCAAGAAGGTCATTTGGAGCACTGAGACAGCGAAATCTGGAGAAAAACCAGTAATGCAATAATAAAATATAATGCAGTATAGTAAAATACAACATGGCACAATTTAACATGGCATGCTACAACATATTGCAACATAACATAACATAATGTAACGAAATATGACACAAGACAAGACAAGATAAGATAAGATAAGATAAGATAGGATAAGATAAGATAAGATAAGATAGGATAGGATAAGATAAGATAAGATAAGATAAGATAAGATAAGATAAGATAAGATAAGATAAGATAGGAACGATTAGATAAGAAAAGATAAGAAAAGATCAGATGAGAAGAGATGCGATGAGATGAGATGATCAGATAAGATAAGACAAGACGAGACATGATCATCTAGTACAAAATAAAGAAGCTGCATAAGATTGGTTATATAGATACATAGATAGATAGCTAGATAGATAGATAGATAGATAGATAGACAGACAAATAGATGGATAGATGGATGGGTAAGTGCTATGTGTAAATGTATATTATACATAAATGTGTATGTATATATATATTTATTTATTTATTTATTTATTTATTTGTTTATTTATTTATTTGTATACATGATGACAGGGAAGACGAGAGAGAGAGAGAGAGAGAGAGAGAGAGCACCATATATGCACCTTGCGACTCCAAGAGCCATCCAGCTGCTCCCACCTCGTGCAAAACGCGGCACGCAAAGAGCGGAAGCCAAGCTCGTTGAGGGCTGAGTTAGGGTTTAGGGTTTAGGGTTTAGGGTTTAGGGTTTTGGGTTTAGAGTGTTCAGGGGTTCCTTGAAGGGCTCCATGATGTAGGTAAGCAAAGCGAGAGCAGAACCCAAATCCATCAATGAAGCCTGAAGCCTCCATTGTCCATGCTCTCTCACCGGGAAGAGGAACCCGAGCCTCCGACATGGGCGTTCGAATCACGCGCCTGGTCGCCTACGATTTGGGCGCAAGAGTTGCCAGGGGTCGTTTCACTGGCTTGCACTGCTCTCTGGGTGGTATCACTTTACACGGGCAGTGAGAATAGCACAACGAAGTGGGCAATCACAACTCTTACAACAGACCAGCCTGGCAGTCAGGCACCTTGCAAATCCGCGACACTTACCGGGACTCTGCCAGGTACCCGGATGCAGGATCAAGGCTGGGCAGTTCCCCGAAGGGGAGGAACCCGGACCAGCCTTACCCCGCTGGAAAGTCAACACAGGAAGAGCCAAGTCGTGCCACCTGGCGAAAGCTCTGGTAGGCACATAAAGACTGAGATGCAGATCATCAGTGATCATCAGTACCGACCTATGTACCGGAGCATCTCGAACAGCTGCAGACCACCGGTTTCCATCCCACGCAGTCTCTGTTGGGCGATCGAAGATGAGACGGAACTGACAACTCGTTCAGAGATCTGTACTGTACTCCAGGACACGGGATTTGATGTGACTAAACTGGATGCTCTGATCATCGTCTGGTGCAAAAGACTCAATTCCTTGTCCAACAGACGCTGCACAGAGCGGCAGCGCAGGCTGTCGCAGCACCGGCTCTTGGCCAGGCGGCCAGAGAATGCTGTAAGGAAGCGAAACCCAGAGTCCGTCACAGTCATGATCAGACAAAAACTGGCCAGCCCCGCTCCACATCCGAGTGGGACAGCACGAAGCTGACCTGTCAAGAGACATGTCTCAGAAAGTTACCGGTGCTCACGTTCGGGTGTCCTGATCTTACGCTACGAGAGTCTACATGAGCTAGGGTTCCTTATGTTGTGCTGTGAGATTCCCGGACAGACCCTCGGCGGCGGAGGTGGCGGACTTTTTTTTTGACTTTTTTTGCAAACGAAGAGCCAGCTGCGGTTGATCTGACCTGGCTCTGGGCGGCCATCTGGCCACAATCCGCCCGAATGGTGCTCGCCTGTGAAGCAATCGGCGTGAGGTGCGTAATCATTGCAATCATTGCAGCAGTATGACGGTGACACTGGGGGCTTGTGCCCCAAAAACTGTGTGTGGCAGGGCCCGCTCAGATCTTCTGAGGCACCAAAGCCTCGTAGTGGCCATAGCCGTGAAACAGGATACGGACGGGCTCGCCTGGGAGCTCCTTGCAGTCTCGCAAGAACTACTTGGAGGATCATGGGACTTAGTAAGTAAGGTTATAAGTCTTCTAATTGGGACTATAAGTATAGTTACCCTAATTATAACCCTACTTACTAAGTCCCATGATCCTTTAAGTAACGGAAGAGCACAGGAACCACAAAAAATCTCGTGCTAGCTCGGCTCCTGTGCGTAGACGAGGAAGGGCTTGGCCCCATCCTGCATGTACACCTCAAGGGCTTGAAGATAGCATGAAGCCACAGAAAGCCACAACTTTTCCGAGGTGCTTCAGCTCAGCGCTCGGCTTCAATGGGGCGCTTGAGCACGTACTGACTGAGAACCAGCAGCTCCGGTTCCCCTCCCCATGAACCAAGTCTCGACATCCTGCAAACCGTGTAGAGGAGCTCCAGACTCTGGCTACAAGAAAATGATAAAAACCTCGCCTTGCGATGTACTTGTCGAAGTCGCCTTCAACGATCCACCCCAGCTCCTCGCACAAAGTCTATGTGCGTCTAGATCTACATCTTGGTATATACATATCTCTCTCAGCCGCATCAGCAGCGGCAGCAGCAGCTGCAGCGGCAGCTGGTGGTAGTAGTAGTAGTAGTAGTAGTTGTTGTTGTTGTTGTAGCAGCAGTAGTAGTAGTAGTAGTAGTAGTAGCAGCAGCAGCCGCAGCAGTAGCAGCAGCAGTAGCAGCAGCAGCAGCAGTAGCAGTAGCAGTAGCAGTAGCAGTAGCAGGAGCAGGAGCAAGAGCAGTAGCAGTAGCAGGAGCAGGAGCAGTAGTAGTAGTAGTAGTAGTAGTAGTAGTAGGAGTAGTAGCAGTACTAGTAGTAGTAGGCGCCCCCCCTACCAACTACACTTGCTCTAAACCATCTTAAGAGCACATCCGTTTTAC